CCACTTTTCATCAGGTGGCCCGTCAGCTTGTTTGTCATTTTAAGTTGCATAATAAAAATATCGGTAATATAATAGTGATGTCATCAATGTATAATAACTATCTAAATTAAGCATGCAGCTATGTTTTACATAGTACCTACAACATAAATTTCAGTTCTAGGTTCTGGAGACGATTTTCCAAACAACCTATTACAGGCTGTGTAGAGATTCAATCTCACTGATTCAATCTCGCCCCTACTATGAGAATACATAAATTATTATGCCTACTTTTAAGAGATGGAAAACTGAGTTAGTTTATTTATTTATACCTTTATTGGCTGTTAGAGTAATAAAGGCTTTTTATATTTCTTCGAGGAAAACAATGTAGAATTTTTATTCATTCCTAAAACGGACTGAATGAATGACATTCGTTCAGTCCGTTCTCCAAGCTCTGTTTAATCGTAAGTAGTTGGACTACTCAACCACGATAATCTCAAATACGTGTAATTTTATTAGGTTTAATTTTATTAATAAAAAAAAAATACTTCTATATCTTACATTAATTCTCAGTAGTTCACAACGTTTATTTTATTTTTTTATGCAACTTAGAATGGCAAACAAGTTGATGGCCCACCTAATGGAAAATGGTAACCGTCGCCTATAGACATGATACCTTCCCATGCGTCACTATTCCTGAGGACTCAGGTGTTATTCCTCTATATCCTGTAAATTCATTGCCATATCGCACCCTTCAAACCGAAACACAGCCATGCAAACACAACTCCTTCATGGTTGAAATACGAATGAGACAGAAGTGCCCAAGCAAAGTACAATCTCCCTCTGGTAAAGACTGTTCTGTTTCTGTTTCTGTTTTTATTAAAAACAAAAATAAAACAATACACATATTTATCTCATATTAATTCTCAGTAGTTCATAACGTAATGGATTTATTAAACTACAAGATCAATCGAACCAACAATTCAGTGTTAATGTTTTATTTTAAATCTGTAACACAAAAAGTGTGAAGTTTTAAAATTATTATCTCTCCGTGACTAAACAACGCCGCGAGAGAGCTTTGAGTTTATAAAGTAAATGCTATAGCGAGACACTGCAACACTAAAGTCGTTTGAGTAATTTTTTTATACAAAAAAAAATAGATACACATGTATTATAAGTTCCGACGCTTTCTTCAGTGACAGTAAGCACTATAGATCCATTTACAAATAACTATATCTTCACATACTTATTATGTTCTCTTGAAATTAGTAACATAATGATACTGTTGAGAAATACGAAGTTTTATAAATAAGGCAGGGGTATGAAGCCGCCTACACACCTGCTCATTATAAACGGAGACCCGCTTATCTTACTTGTTAAAGTATAAGTTCTTTCATGAATAAATATGAACAGTACTCAAAAGAATTTTCTTTGAAATTGTCAAGGGCGTCTTGTGAAAATATGTCGAGCTACCATAATTATTATTCCTCTTCGTTAGAAGTTATGTTACTATATTTATACAAGTTATATTATATCTTCTTAACCGTACCTAACCTATAGCTTTGGGGGGAAAAGGGATTATTAGTAATGGTAGTTACCAGAATGAGACCCCCATGCGTTGCTATTCCTGAGGATTCAGGTGTTATTATTCCGTACCCAGTAAATTCACGCCATATCCCACCCTTCAAACCGAAACACAGCCATGCAAACACAACTGCTTCACGGTTAAAAAACGAAGGGACAGAGGTACCCAAGCAATCGACTTTTGTACAAAGTCTTCCCTGTAAAAGGAGTTTTACCAATAGTTGCTACGTTTGGTAAGCGGATTGGCAACCGATGTTTTAAGAGCAACGCTACTGCCATGCCTCTACCATTTTCATTTAGTCGCCTCTTGCAACAATCACAGGAAAGAAAGGTTGCGTCCTATTTTATGCCGAACCCACACGAACCTTTATGGTATATAAAACATGTCGAGTATAAAGTGATTTGTCAGCCATTAGTTGGGCTATTCAAGTTAAATTAGATGCATGCCTCGTACATGCATTGACAGAAGTTGTGCGGCGTGATATTGAGGTTGCATTCGTCTCGGCTCGAATCCAACCTCGAGTGTTTTAAGCTCTGCATACACAGAGAGATTTATCTTCTCGATTAAACGAAATTATAGTTCTAACTTTCTTTTTATGTCACACAGACGTATGTACATGAAGAGAGGATTATTAGTAATGGGGAATAGTATCCCCATTGCTAGTAATATTGCTCTCTGGAAATTGTGGTGGTTAATTCTCAGTAAATTCGTCATGATGAATCAACTGACTTGGCTTCCATTTTCATTTACCTATTGATGGACATATATTGGAACCCTATTGATGACACATTAGCATCGCAGAATCAATGAAACTAAAAATGTTTTACTAAATTCTTACTTAACAGCTTCGATTATATTATACATCATATGTAATATATTTCACTATCGCACCACTTGCCATCGGTAAGGACTCTATCCATAGACATAAGAACCAGAATGATTATTTACCACTGTGCGTGACGATTTTGGTTCTAAAATATTTACAGATCTAAGGCGGTTTCAGAGGAGTTTCCTCCCGCGAATACTTAGATTGTGGAATGATCTTCCTACCGTAGCTTTCCTTAAAGACAAACATATTTCGTGAAGCAGCTAAAAATAGCCAAATTTACCCAAAAGATTGATTACATGATAACAGTCTGGCTGAGGACAATGATGGTTCCCACATGCAACTAGTTGAATTACTTTGAGATCGCATCAGATATATTTCAGGGTATTCCTTAGTTAACACTAGATGACTGTGATGAACGTAACATTCGACATACAGAAATTTTATCAAGCATAATTGAATCTTATTTGTTAAGGAATAAGCCTGCTGTTGTTTCTTTGATTAATTTGATTTATTATTAGTATAAACAATCAACGGAAAACTGAAGAGCAAAACAAACGGAAAAGCAAAGACATTTAAAAAAATAATAATATAACCCTTAGAAAGTTTTAAGTTGGAAAAGGAAAGGAGAAAAATCTGTTATAGAAAAATTGTAAGACATTGAAATGAATTTAACAGATATCTAAGATACTATCTATACGTCAAAGTGCCGGTGACCTTTTCCTGATTCTTCATCGACAAAGGTCGGAAAAAGCATCTGGATAGATATAATTAACTTGAGAGTTTATGCTTCTAAAAAAATTCTAAGAAAACTTTATGAAAAGGGCTTTCCTATTTTCGTTCCATAAAGTTGAGAGCTACTCCGATAACTTGACAATGGGGCTTCATGTTACATTACTTTATAATAGGTAATTGATATTGACATTTAAATTAAGACATACGATAGGTTGCCGTGTGGCTTAGAATTGGCCGCCCCTTCCTTTCTCGTGGGTGTCATAAGAGGCGTCTAAGGGAACTAAATGTGTGAGAGATGGGCCTCAATATCCCTTTTAAAACATCACCAAAAGGCTAACTGCAGTTGCCAACCCGCCTGCTAAGCTTGGCAACTACTGGCAAAACTCCCCCTTATGGGAGAAGCTGATATGATGATGATGATGATGTGATAGATGTTATACGAGTCTCTAAATAAATTATTAGTTCAGTTTTTATAGTACATATTTTATATGTAGACTTAGTAAAGTTTTATGCAGTTTGATGTAGATCTTTGCGTGTTAATACAGAGGTCTTTATTAATATATACTGATATACATTGTCTTTGCAAAAAATCTGCAAAGTTAAAATTAGTATTTTTGCGGAAAAAATGTATTCTGCATACCGTAGCTCAAATTGTTTAAATATTTTTTTGCTAATTTTCACTACCGTACAACCCGCTACAAACTAAAGTTTCATCCCAACTATGTGGATGAGTAGCGGTCTTTCACCGTGCGTTTTTCAAGGCATTTTCTTCCATACACAACTACTGGTCAAGCCATGTAATGGTCTGCGGAGGAGGCCGCGGGGCGCGGGACGCGGAGCAGCGGCGAGCGGACTCGCGACTCGCGGACGGCAGACAGACACAGCATAGTGGCAACCGCACACGCATATATTCGCACAATAAATTGTCGGGCTAAACTTGTATTTTACAACAACATTCCGCTCTTATTCTCCCTGAACATATGGTCCTTCGAGCTCTATTCAATTACTGGACTGTTTAAATTACATCGTGATAAATTCCACCGGCTTCCAACAACGACGCGGTCGTCTTCGATCAACGGTGCGACAGGCCTCTTTCAACGGTTTGACGGGCTTCTTTCAACGCCGCTCTTCAACGTTTTGGAGCTGGGAATTTATTGCTGTTTAGTCTTCCGACCAGAATTCTACGGGCCCTACAACGCTTTTCAAGACAAGAAAACAAAAAGGATTATATGGATAGTGCATAAAGACCGTGAGATCGCTCCATTATCTATCTTTTTGCTTTCCATCATCATATTATCTTCATTTAACCTTTTCCATTAGTGAATTCATTCCATAATTCCATAATACTTAATCACTTATTTTTAATCTAAGTAGTTATTACTTTCATTTCAAACCATAAACGGTTATTGCCATTTACTTCATTAGTTTTTTTGTAGTCTTGTAGATTAAAAAGCTAAAATCGTAATATCTATTTATACATTGATTATTAATATCTCCGTAATAAGTAAATCGTAGACGCTTTTTTTAAGTAACATTTTTTTTTTACGCTACCTACCATAGGCAGTAAATATCATAATCGAAACACGAATCATACAATCATAATTATCACGTAGTTTTCAACGCTATTGTATTATATACTTAGTTAATTCTTTGTTTTATTAAGTAAATGCGATTAATTACATCAATCTGCTTTTAGTTGCTTTAATCATATCTCACGTACCTAATTAACAGTGTAATATTTTAATACCGTACAATAATTTATTTTTTTTTTGTTTTTTTCTTAGGTTAGCCAGTAGTCTGCTAAATTACTACCAACCGATCAACGGACTTTGTACTGTAGCATCTGTGCAGTGTCAGACACATTATCACAGATTAGTATATTTTTAATTTGCTATCTTTTAATTAAGTATTTTTTTTATTGTAGATAATTAAAATATATTTATTTTTATTACTTTATTTACAATTTTTAATTTTATTTAATAACTATATCTTGATTAACTTTTGCAATGACAGAAAATAAAGCAACACAATTAAATCAATTAATTAAAAAGCGTGGTACTTTTAAAAGCAAACTTACAAATTTTTGCAATTACATTAATATATTAAAAAATAGCTCAGCTGTTAGTAATGCTGTCATTCAGTTCGAGCTTCAATCGCGCATTGATAAAATGGAATCCTTATATTCGGACTTTGATACTCTTCAGGGTGAGATCGAAGAAATTGCTGACGATCCTGACCAGAGGTATCAGGAAAGGGACGCTTTCGAGAACCAGTATTATGCGGCTGTCGCGACGGCTAGGAGTCTGTGTATACCGTCATTTACATCGACAAATCACGAGGTAAGCTCTCATGATGCTTGTGCGCACAAACAAAGCAATTTTGTAGGACTTCCCAGGATCCAGCTTCCCGTGTACAATGGCAGCTATCAGCATTGGCTCGAATTCAGGGACACGTACGTTTCTATAGTCCATTCTAGTACTGTAGTACATAAACAAATTTCATTATCTTCGCGCTTGCTTACAAGGTAGTGCAGCTTTAGTTATTAAAAGCTTAGACTTCAAGGCAGAAAATTATGCTTCTGCATGGGAATTGCTGTGCAAGCGATACGACAATAAACGCTTACTTGTAAATAACCATGTACAAGCTCTTTTTAATGTTAATTCTATCAAAAAAGAATCTAGTAAAGCTTTGCGTTATATAGTCGATGTCACAAACAAAAATCTTAAAGCTTTGGCTACTCTTGACCAGCCAACAGACAGCTGGGATACATTAATAATTTATATGATGTCAACTAAATTAGACAGTGTTACAAACCGAGAGTGGGAGGAGTATAGAAACAATTGCAGTGATCCACCTACTCTAGATATTTTTATAACCTTCTTGTCTAACAGGGCTGATCTTCTAGAGACTTTAGAGGAGGCAAAAAACAATAAAGGTAATTCTGAATCTACTCACGTTCAAAAATCCAACAGCTTTATAGTTTCTTCAAGTAAAAATAAAACGCTTTCCTGTCCATTATGTCAACATGATCATCATTTATTTAACTGTGATACATTTAGGAAACTGTCAGTAGATGCACGCATTGAAAAAGCTAAAAGTTTTAAAATATGCTTAAACTGCCTTCGACCTGGTCATCATGAGACACGGTGTAAATTGTCACATTGCAAATATTGCAAATCCAAGCACAATACTCTTCTTCATCTTGATATTCATCACGAACCTGTCACGCATGATAGTGTTGTCCTATCTGCTGAGCCATCTCAGTCCTCAACTAATACGGGTTATATTTTATTATCCACAGCCTTGGTCAAGGTGCTTGACGTCCACGGGAAACCACATGCAGCTAGAGTCTTGTTAGACAATGGAAGTACCGGAAACTTTGTCACAAAGGACTTTTGTGGCAAGCTCAATCTTCGTACACATGCTACGAATTCAAGGGTAACAGGTATTAATCATCAAGTATCCACTAGTTCATTGTCTTGCTCTCTTACATTGGAGTCTTATGTTGGTGGCTACAGGACAGACATCAATTGCTTTGTTTTACCCACTATTACAACTTTGCTTCCAAACACATATATAGATATACATAATTTAAAAATACCGCCTGGGGTTTGCTTAGCTGATCCAAATTTCAACGTTCCGTCAACCATTGACATTCTAGTAGGTGCGGACGTCTTTTGGAGTGTGATCGGTACAAATCGCATCCAGTTAGGTACACATAAACCTACTCTTTTTGAAACCAAATTTGGTTGGTTGGTTTCTGGCACTATCAGTCAATCAGATCCTAAACAGTATGTATGTATGTTTTCTAATAATTTACAGAATAATTCTACAGACTTAACTCGTTTTTGGGAACTAGATACAATTTCATCTAAATATGAGCTCACTCCGGATGAACATGCATGCGAACAAGATTTTATGAATTCTACACAGCGCAACAAAGAAGGACGTTTTGTAGTTTCTATGCCACTCAGAGAACCTCCTGAGGTTTTAGGCAATTCTTATTCACTTGCTAAAAACAGATTTCTTTCTCTTGAGCGTCGTTTGCAACGAGAGTCACATTTGAAGCGTCTTTATGTAGAATTCATAAAAGAATATATTGATCTGGGTCATATGAGTGAAAACACATTTAAAAATCATAATCAAACAATTCAATGTTATTTGCCACATCACGGCATTCTTAAAACATCTAAAATAACCACACAACTACGTGTTGTGTTCGATGGTTCTGCCTCTACGTCTTCAGGTAAGTCGCTTAACGACATACAACGCGTAGGTCCTACTATGCAGGACGACTTATTATCTATTTTATTACGTTTTCGACAGCACAAGTTCGTGGTATCAGCAGATATAGAAAAGATGTATCGGCAGATACTTTTAGACGACGCACAACGTCCTTTACAAAAAATATTATGGAGGTTTGATCCCTCCCACCCTCTTAAGTCATATACCCTAAACACTCTCACATACGGCACGGCATCAGCGCCATTTCTAGCCACCAGATGTCTTACACAGTTAGGTCATGACTCTAACAATTCTGAAATAAAACGCGCTATATGTCATGACTTCTACGTAGACGATTTTTTAAGTGGACATGAGACTATTGAAGACACAATTTCATTGTGTCAAGGTGTAATCAACACCCTTCAGTCAGCCAAATTTAATTTGAGAAAATGGCACTCAAATAATAGTACCATATTAAATAGTATATGTCAGAACAATAAGACATCTGGTAGTGTAGATCTTAGTGCAAAAGAGTGTGCAAAAACATTAGGTATTCATTGGAAATGTCTAACAGACCACTTATCATTTTCTATTAATATTTCATCTCAAGATAAATTAACCAAGAGATTTATTTTGTCCACAATTTCACAAGTATTTGACCCATTAGGCCTTGTATCGCCATGTATAGTGGAAGCAAAAATATTAATGCAACAATTGTGGATAAATAAATGTTCTTGGGATGACAAGGTTCCCCCTCTCATAGAAAAAATATGGTCAGAATTTGTACAGTTCTTACCATTACTGAATAATCTTAAGATTCCTAGGTGTATTAAAAATAACAGTACAGTCAACACAGAAATACATATATTTACAGACGCATCGGAGAAAGCATATGGTACATGTGTATATATAAGAAGTATATCTAGCGAAGGTTCAATTGATGTCCGTCTTTTGGTTTCCAAAAATAAGGTAGCTCCTATTAAAATTACTACAATCCCAAGACTTGAACTTTGTGGCGCGCTTTTAGGAGCACGACTGTACAAGAAGGTGATTACATCGGTTACTCTTGAATTCAGTCGTTGTGTATTTTGGACAGATTCCACCATCGTCTTAGGCTGGATTGCTTCTTCACCAAGTCAGCTTAAACCATTTGTTCGGCACCGAGTTGTGGAGATACAGGAAGGTTCTCACGAATGGCGTTATGTACCCTCAAAATCAAATCCAGCTGACTTAGTATCCCGAGGTCTAAGAGCAGATTTATTAAACAATTCTTCCTTGTGGTGGTCAGGGCCTTCATTTTTAAAACTAGATTCATCTCAATGGCCACTTAATCCAAATAAACATAATTCCAATTTACCTGAAACGATACAATCATTTCACACAGATGACAGTAATTTAATTAATCATAAAGGTAATTTAATTTCATCTTTAATTGACAAGTTTTCAAATTTCACACGACTGCAACGTGTAGTTGCATTTGTCTTAAGATTCGTCAATAACTGCCAAAAGAATACAAATAAACTATGTGATCAAATATCATTATTAGAATTAAATAATGCTGCCAAACTTCTTTTACGTACAGCTCAGCAAGATTCATTCCCTGAGGAACGTGAGTTACTCTTGTCAAACAAGCAATTACCTTTCAAGAATAGGTTAGTGTCATTATCACCGTTTATAGATTTTGATAACCTCATCCGCGTGGGTGGCAGGCTTAATGATTCTCATTATGACTACAATGTCAAACATCCCATTCTTTTGTCAGGCAAACATCGCTTATGTGAATTAATATTCAATATGCTTCATAAAAAATTCATGCACTCAGGGCCTCAGTTATTACTAGCCACTGCTAGACATAATTATTGGCCTATAGGAGGACTCAACTTAGCAAAACGTATAGTTCGCTCTTGTGTTAGGTGCACTAGGTTCAAGGGAAAAACCATTCAGCCCATGATGGGTAACCTACCAGAGAAACGGGTCCATCTAGAATTTCCTTTCCTAGAAACAGGCGTCGATTATGCCGGTCCAGTGCTGATAGCTGATCGCAAGGGTAGGGGCTGCAAAATTATAAAATCTTACATTTGTGTGTTTGTGTGTTTTGCCACAAAGGCGGCGCATCTAGAGCTTGTCTCGGATTTGACTAAAGAAGCTTTCATTGCAGCACTAAACAGATTCATAGCACGACGAGGCAAGCCGCAAACGATATTTTCGGATAACGGCACTACCTTTGTTGGGACTTTTCATGAGCTCTCCAAGCTCCTCAAACAATCTGAGTTGTCTACGGATTTGGCCGAACAAGGTATAAACTTTTCATTTATTCCTGCCTATACTCCTCACTTTGGAGGCCTATGGGAATCGCTTGTTCGATCAACGAAGCATCTTCTTAGGCGTATTTTAGATAAGACTCATTTAAACTATGAAGAAATGGCTACTCTTCTTATTCAAATTGAAGCCATCTTAAATTCTCGTCCTATCACACCTATTTCCGACAATCCTTCTGATATTTATCCTCTTACTCCTGCCCACTTCCTTATTGGACGGTCTATCATCTTTTTGCCACATCCAGAAATTGTCGACCGCCGCTTCAGCTCTCTTCAGCGATTTCAACGCATCGAGCTGCTCAAGCAACATTTTTGGAATCGATTTTCTAATGAATACGTTGTATGGCTCCAACAGAAAACCAAATGGCATCGGTCTTATGGCGAGCTTAAGGAGGGCACCCTCGTCGTCATCAAGGAGAAGACCTCACCTCCATTAATGTGGCTCATGGGCCGCGTTATCCGCATAATACCTGGAAGGGATGGTATCGCAAGGGTTGCCGACATTCAGACCAAGAAGGGTGTCATTCGGCGAGCATACAACACCATATGCCCCTTGCCAGTGAAGAGTTTTGAACTTGACACTTCAACGCGGGGAGTATATGGTCAAGCCATGTAATGGTCTGCGGAGGAGGCCGCGGGGCGCGGGACGCGGAGCAGCGGCGAGCGGACTCGCGACTCGCGGACGGCAGACAGACACAGCATAGTGGCAACCGCACACGCATATATTCGCACAATAAATTGTCGGGCTAAACTTGTATTTTACAACAACATTCCGCTCTCTCTTTAGGATCTTTAGGATCAAGTTCCAGCAGCAGTATTTCCGAACCGATACGAGACCATAATCATCAAAAAAGAGCATATTCCTTTTTAAAAGACCGGCAGCACGCCTGCAATGCCTTTGGTATTGTGGGTGATCATGGGCGGCGGTAGTCACTTACAAACAGGTGAACCGCATGCTCGTTTGCCTTGTGTTATAAAAAAAATAACCATATTTCAACCATACCAGCGAATCAACCATATTTTAACCAACAAAGAACGGCACAAGCTAAAATATATCAATACGTACGTGAAAATAAGTTTGTTTATTATCTCTTGGCGTTTTTACAGCTCAACCATTCTTTATTTTTTTTTATACAACTTAGAATGGCAAACAAGCTGACGGCCCACCTGATGGAAAGTAGTAACCGTCGCCTATAGACATGAGCAGTACCATGGACATAATAGAGTATACTGTTTCGCCCATGATACCCCCTATGCGTTGCCATTCCTGAGAACTCAGATGTTATTCCTCTGTACCCTGTAAATTCACGCCATATCCCACCCTTCAAACTGAAACACAGCCATGCAAACACAACTACTTCACGGTAGAAACACGAATGGGACAGAGGTACCCAAGAAATCGACTTTTATACAAAGTCTCCCTCTGGTGAGTACTTAGGCATACAAGTATTACTTATGTACTTACACTAGGTACTTTTAATCCCGGTTAGCTAATATATCCCGATCATGCAAAAGTCGCGGTGAAAGGCAAAAAAAATATTTTAATAAGAAAAAAATTCACTTTTTATAAAATTTTCCATGTTTTTAGTTTTTGCCTTCAGCCTGTTGGCTGAAAAAGCAAAGAGTGCTCGATAGTTAACGAGGCGGCAACGACGGAGGGTCCTTCTCGATCCTCGTCACGAGTGGAACTATATGCGAGAGCAACGTTGACAAGAAAGACTCATTAGCAAATTGATTCTGACAATTTGGTTTTTCATTAAACAGGTACTACAAAGTAATTACAACATTATTTAAGAGTGGGCACTGCCTTTATATTGATGAAACCGGAATATAAATCTATATATGTAACCATCTAAAAGTAACAGTACAATATATGAATGAATAAATAGATAGATAGATATTTTTATTGTTTCCTCCAAAAGATTACAATAGTAAACTTATTATAGGTACATACAATTACAAGAATTAATCACAGTGAGAAAACAATGGGTGTCCTTATTGCTAAAAGCGATTTCTTCCAGGCAACCTTTGGATGGAAAAGATTAATTATAAACAGTTTGATTATGTATACAATTATATTTTTGATTTATTTTTGTCATGTTTATTCATAACTAACTTTTACCTCAGGGGTTCGTTCTTGTAATGGGGATATTTTTTTTAATGGGTGGTAATGATATGGTAACTCCGCCTGCGCTATCGGTATACACTAGCGGGGCACCAGTAAGAGATGATAGATGAGGATGAAAGTAAGTCAGTTAGCCCATCCTGACGAATTCGACTAGAATTAACCACGATGGTTTCAGGAGGAAGGTGGAGGTCGACCTAACTGGGTATATTGTTTGAGCCCATTACTAACAATCCCTTCCCTTCTGTGATGAAGATATGTTGATTGACCGAAATAAATAGTAACCTATGTTCTTTTCCAATCCAAATAAAATGTGTCCTACTAAATTTCATATTGATAGGTTAAGTGGTTATGTAACCACAAAGTAACAAACAAACTTACTTTCACATTTATGATATTAAGTAAGAAATACCTGTCACTAAAATAACGACATCGGTGCCTATTATTGAATTTACAAGGTACAGAGGAATAACACCTGAGTCCTCAGGAAGGGTAAAGCATGGGGGGTATCATGGGCGAAACAGAATACTCTGTTATGTCCATGGTACTGCTCATGTCTATAAGCGACAGTTACCACTTTCCATCAGGTGAGCCGTCAGCTTGTTTGCCATTCTAAGTTGTATAAAAAAATCACAAAAGACCCTAGCATAGTGTACAATTTTTAAATTCAATAAACTGGTCGCATAGATTGTATACAAAAGTTTTTATGTATAGCGGGCCTGAAAAGAAAAGTCCATTTGTTGACTTTTGCGACTTGAACTGCTTTTTGTTATGTTGCATGAAGTGAAATACACAAGGCTTTTTTTTTTTTTTTTTTTTTTTCCGTGTGGAAAATCTTCGGAAAGACCGTCCCATCTGCCGAAGGGAGGGCAGCTGGGGTGTGTGGGATTCGTACCCACTAAAAACCACACGACGTACCTCGAGGCGCTTATGTTGGATCCCGGGTTCCCGTTTGTACGACTACCGAGTAACACAAGGCTAACCTAATTTTGACTTATAGTCGAGCAATTTAAAAAAACAATGTACTTTACTACAAGTTCTTATATTTTGCTCTACAAAAAGCTGCTATTGCTGTACTTGTATAACGTAACAATAGAAGTTAAAGATTGTGTCTCTCAAAAAGAATCGACTTCAATTATGCCAAAGCCATTTTTCATTTTTTTGGTTTAAAATTTTAACTACCGAGCCGATTTTGATAGAAAATTTTATGGGACCAATTTGTAAGTATATCCTTTCATATAAAAAAATCAAATCGGTTTAGAACTGATAGAGTTATGAGGTAACAAAAATAAAAAAATATAACCGAATTGAGTAACCTCTTTCGTTTTGAAGTCGGTTAATAAATGACGAGTAATTCAATTTTGATTCGCAATAAACAGTTTTTTTACTCTGCAAAAAAGGAACTGTTCCAATTATCATAATATTAATATGATACTACCACGAAAGTACGCCATGTCGATTACAAAAATCTTTATCGAAATCGGTTAAGAATGTATCCTGATGTCGAATTGAAAACTTATTGATTCTTAAAGTTGCTTAAAAATAACTAACCTCTCATTATTCAAACACCTGCTTTTGAATTGTTTTTTATCATCATCATCATTTTCAGCCGTTATCCACTGCCGGGTGGTGGGCAGGATTCATCTATGGAATTATATATATAATTACACAGGAAATAATAAGTTGCACACATGCTGTATATGTGTGTGTAACTTAAATCGGGCGCACTTACGCAAGATACACACACGCATACAAACACACATTCACTGCGTGTACAAACACACATACATACACATGAATACACACACATACACATGCATTTATACGCATACACACTCACACACATACTGTTGCAAACAACTATAATATTCAAGTATAAAAATATATAATCTCTTCAATACGGATATAGTAACAGGAACGGAAAAAATGAAACATTACCTCCCTGCCAAAGGCAAAGCTCGTAAATGTAGGTGATTTATTCGGTTCAGTTCTCAATGTCTGCAACTTTGTTATTTACTGTCGATATTGTGTGCGTTCATTCCATACGAGTTAGGCTAGTTACTTCTATTGACCGATGATAAATTTGCTTTTTTTTTCATTGGGGATTTTATCAGTTCACAACTACTGAGTTGTGAAGCTTGCCAAGCGAGTTGACAACCGCAATTAAGTTTTCGTGATGTTTTTAGAGGAACGCTACTGCCTATCTCTCGACTATTATGCTCCCTTAGTTACTCCTCACGACACTAACGGGAAAGAAATGGGTGGACCATTCTATGCCGAGACCAAATGCAGGTGATGCAAGTGGATGCAAGTGGCACGGCAATTACTTTAATTACCTACCTATTAGTACCTATTTTCCTTTAGTACCATAAAATACCATAACTGGAAATCTTAATCATATTTAAAGAGGATAATTTGAATTCACATTTAGATATTGGTATAACATGAATCAATAAAAAAATAGGCCAGAATGCTATAATATCAAAAAGTGAGTTTTACAATGGGTAGTCAAAGTCGACAGGAGGCAATAGGATAGCATAAAAAAGCGCAAGCCGCAGAGGGTGGTGTGGGGCGCCGAACGTGAATTGATTAGCTGTCACGTGACCAACTTCTGAGACTAAATATTTGAAGTGAGACGGTGGTTCGAGATTTTAAATAACATATGAAGTAATTTGTTGTATCGAAGAAAATTTACAGCTACGATAACTTAATTATTAAATATAATTATCAATAGTCAGATAATTTAAAGCTACTACTTACAAACCTTTACACTCCTAACATTATTAATAGGGGGAAAGGGATTGTTAGTAATGAAGTCTAATAGCACCATTGCTAGCAATATACCCTCTCAGGTCGACCTCCGCGCTGTTCCCCCTAGAAACCATCATGGTTAATTCTTGTCGAAATCATCATGGTGGGCTAATTGATCTGCATTCATTCTCATCTACTGGTGCCTTGCCTTGGGTTCCATTTTCAACCATAAAACATTATTAATATGTACCTTTATATAGGCATGGGTAAAATCGATACATCTCCAATATCTATATATCGACTTCCTCTGGAGATTGATGATGTAAAAAAGTTGACCTTTTTTCTCATCATTAATCACGCCCATTTCAATTGTTTCGCCCATCGTGGTTGCATGGCTGTGTTTCGGTTTGAAGGGTGGGATATGGCGTGAATTTACTGGGTACATAGGAATAACACCTGAGTCCTCAGGAATGGCAACGCATCGGGGGTATCATGGGCGAAACAGTATACTCTGTTATGTCCATGGTATTGCTCATGTCTATAAGCGACGGTTACCACTTTTTTATCAGGTGGCCCGTCAGCTTATTTGCCATTCTAAGTTGTATAAAAAAAACAAGTCGGATATCTATATTCATTCCGTTAGTATTCTTCATTTAGTTATTATAACAAATATTTAAATATATAGATGTTGCACCCATCCCTATTCGTATAGTATTATATTATCTGTGTTAATATTATAAATATGGGAGTGTATTTATTTTACATTTTGGCATTTTAATGACTTAGTTTATACTTATAATATTTATATGATTAGAGAGAAGTGTGGACTGAAAGACGATGTAGTGATCAAAATCGAAAAAGGAATGTTGCGTTGGTTTGGTCATTTGGAGAGGATG